CAAAAATTTTAGAGAATAATATAAGAAGTAACTTTTATTTAAAGAATTTTCTTCTCCAAACTTAAATAACAGGTATATTTTATAAAATATAAAAATGACCCTCTATATAGTACCCCCCAGATGTTCCGACTCTGCCCAAAATCTAATCAATTTACCGCAGGCCGGAATAAAGCTTAAGTTTAAATTTGGTGTTTTTCTTTGTATCCGTTCATGAGTTATCGTGGATACAGATACACACACAGACACACACACATACATCATCGCGAAAAGTGTCAAAACGGATTTAGGGGACCTCAAAACGTAAAAATCCGTCGAAAACTCGATGTCGAAAAAATCATGATTCCTACACTTTCCTTATCTGTATACATATAGGAAAGTAAAAATGTTTCGAGTAAGATGTAGGTAGAAAATGTAAATATTTAGTTCATCCTTTAAACATTTACAGGAGTGATACAATAGGTTGTACAAAATAACCGCAAAAAGCCTGTAATGACTAAACAGGAAAGTCATGTGTTGGATACATTTTTTTTTAAATAGACGGAATTTTTTTTTCTAATTTTTACATATATAGTGACATTTTTTTTAATTGCAGCAAGTGTCAAAATTATCCAATTTATGTAACAGTTACATAAAGTTGATTATGTTATTGGTTAATTCAAATTTGTCACCAGTAGTGAAATAAAAACTTATAAAAATAAACTTTTTACTTCTAAAAGTTGTTGAAAATTTATATTGAAGGAAGGAAAGTTGGCTGTATAAAAATAGATTTTGTTAGTGAACTTACAAATACTAATAATTCTATTTCAGTCAGTGGCAGCTGGTGCATAAGAGCTGTAGAGCTGCAGAACTGTCAAAAAATAGAAATGTCTCATCTACATTTCATAGAAATTATTTTACACATTCTAAAATATAAGTAAAGTAAATTTTATGGATAATCTGATTAACTTTTATATAATTTTAATTATTAAATAGTATCTATCCGTAGCGCATGAAGCTGTTAATAGCTGAGAATAAGTGCAGAGCTCACCAGTGAAAGACTTAACAAAACTTTGCCAGGTCATATTTATCATCTCTTAGCTAGGTCGCTTCGGGACGGTCTGTGCACTGCTTGGGCCGCCCGCGCTCATCCCCTTACCTCCTGCGGCTCTCTAAAAAGTAACGCCGATACACGTAGTGTTTGGGATGCATTTTTGCCAGAACGGCTGAGACTATAGTCTATCGCAAAATATGTGATTCGATTTGGGTTTTGTAGATGTAGATTATTAGTGTGTGTTTAAATGAAGGACTGCAGAATAAAATTAATGTACAAAAAGTAGGTGAATAAAAGCTGTAAAATAACAAATCTTGCAGAACATCCAATCTCTTTAACCACGAGCCGCTACTGATTTCAGTCCCTTTTAAATCTTCACAAAATAATCAAAACACCTTTTCAAACAACACAGAACAATATAATGCACTTTCTTAAAACTAATCTTTAAACCTTAAAAAAGCAACAAAACCATCTGATAACAATTGGTGGAGAATAATTATATCATTTTCTGGCTAAATAATTAATATTTTATTTTAAAAATATTTGAAATAACTACTTGTGTTCATTTAAATAAATCAAGTCATATAAACTGTGACATTTTTTCCCAACAAATTTCAAAATACTTTGAAAGTACATAAAAATAATGGTTAGTCATTTCTTACCAAACACAAAAAAAATATTGTGTGTAATACGTTACATAAATAGCTATTAGACAAACAAACCATTTTTACAAATTGTTGCGTATGAAATTTAGCGTATCTACATCATTCTATTGAAATTCCATATTCTCATTAATTTTCCATTATCTTTATTTTATTTACCAACCCATAAAATGTCATCACCTTGTTTATTACTTGAGTTCATAAATTTAATCTATTTTCTCTCTTTGTAATTTTGTAACTTTATTTTGTAATAAACAATTTATTATTATTATTATTATTGTTTATTATTTTGTTAATCCCAAGAACTTCAATTTCATTGAGAACATATCCAGTGGGTGATTTAATGGTTAGAGTCGTGACTTTAGGATTCTTGGATCTGGTGCTCCCCGTTTGATCTTTCACCCAGGGACGGATTGGACCGCTACGACGGGCGCGGGAAGTCAATTAAAACGGCGCACAATAACTGATAAATAAAATACAAACTCCATTTTTTTACATAAAAAAAGAACCTACAATTATGTTTACATATAAACATAAATAAAAAGGAATTCTTAATTTTGTTAACACAAATATATCACATAAATAAAATATTAACTCTTAATCTAAAGTTTTGCAGTTAAAATAATAATTTCTTTGAGAATAAAATATTGGTTCTTCGCAAATCGTCAATGACGTCGTCATTTTCTATTGTATTTATGATGATATGTCGTCGGTTATGACTGTGAGTACTCCTTAGCTTGTTTTTCAAGTACTTCAGTTTGGAAAAACTTCTCTCGCAGTTAGGTTACTTCTGAAATTGGAATTGTCAACAAAAATGTATATGCTAATGCCAACACCCAGACAGCACACCAAATCCTTTGGATATCTACTGCACATCCCAATATCCACTGAATGTCCAGTCCATGGTGGATATCTATTTTATATCCATAATATGTAATTTATAGACATGCAAATGTCCATAAATAATAGTAATTATATAGCAAATTATTAAAAAATTACGCCATTGTGGCTAATAGTACCGTTCAGATATTTAAAATTAATTTTTTTAAGGTGTATTCAATATCCCATGGACATCCACTAAATATATCAAAGTCTAGGCGCGAACTCAAACCATCGTGGATATCCACTAGATGTTATTTGATTTTGCTTACTAAGTATAGATGACCATACCACTTTCGCATCTACTCATGCTCGACCCGCCGTAATTGACTTCGATCGAAATTTGTGTTCTAATCAGACTCCATTAGAGACTGGAGTCGAGTCGAGAATTTCCATTTATTGCTGAAGAGTCCTAATAAGGATGACTTTCTCCTTAGTGGACAAAATCAAAGGCAGAGTGTTGAAAATTTTTTGAGTGTTGAAAATATTTTTTATCTCTGCTATTTTCTTTCGACGTTATTCAATAATCATTGGTTACTTATGAACCTCTACTAAAGATAAAATATGTTGCTGAATATCCGCCCAGACAACACATCAAATCGCAGAGATTTCCACAGAATATCTTTTGTGGATATCCAATATATCCACAGGATATCAGAAATATTCCGTGGATCTAATATGGATATCCAAATGTCCGTCTATATCCAGAATATAGAAGATATATGGTTATCCAGCAAAATATCTAATGAGTATCTTCCAGACAATACAAGAAATCCCAAGATATCCACAGAATATATTCTGTGGATATCCAACCAAATGTCCGTCTATATCCCAGGATATAGAATAATTCGGATATTCAGCAAAATATTTTATAGGTATCTTTAGTAGAGGTTCATAAGTAACCAATGATTATTGAATAAAGTCGAAAGAAAATAGCAGAGATAAAAAATATTTTCAACACTCAAAATATTTTCAACACTCTGCCTTTGATTTTGCCCACTAAGGCGAAAGTTATCCTTCGATCGAACTCAATTACGGCGGGTTGAGCATGAGTAGATGCGAAAGTAGTATCGCCATCTATACTTAGTAAGCAAAATCAAAAATTACATCTAGTGAATATCCACGATGGTTTGCGTTCGCGCCTAGACTTTGATATATTTAATGGATGTCCATGGGATATTGAATACACCTTAAAAAATTAATTTTAAATATCTGAACGGTACTATTAGCCACAATGGCGAGCACAATGGCGTAATTTTTTAATAATTTGCTATATAATTACTATTATTTATGGACATTTGCATGTCTATAAATTACAGCTCATGGATATAAAATAGATATCCACCATGGACTGGACGTTCAGTGGATATTGGGATGTTCAGTAGATATCTAAAGGATTTGGTGTGCTGTCTGGGCGAATATCTTCTATATCCTGGGATATAGACGGACATTTGGTTGGATATCCATATTGGATATATTGAATATCCACAAAATATATTCTGTGGATATCTCTGGGATTTCTTGTATTTCCTGGAAGATACCCATTAGATATTTTGTTGGATATCCATTAGGATATCTTCTATATTCTGGATATAGACGGACATTTGGATATCCATATCAGATCCACGGAATATTTCTGATATCCTGTGGATAGGTATATTGGATATCTACAAAAGATATTCTGTGGATATCTCTGGGATTTGGTGTGTTGTCTGGGCATTGGATAAGCATCTTTATACATTATATTTATAAATGATGGAATAGCAGCACAGTAGGGGAGTGTGAGTGTAAATAGATGGGAAAATCAATGGTAAAATTCTGAGGCAATGTGCTGCCATCCATCAAATTGGATAGGTACTAAATTCTATATGGCCGCTAGGATCTAGCTTTTTGAAATTTAACTTTCTGACAGCTGGGCAAAAATGTAATAAAGGAAAATCAAACAAAAAAATAAAGTGATTTATTTTGATATTTTGCCAATTTATATTTGAAATAAAATACAATTTATTTTATTTTTAATTTTTTTTATTACAGTTAATACAATTAATTTTCTATTTTAACATGGAAATGCTCGGATAAATATGAATTTAAACCATTTATTTTTTCAAATTTTTCCTTTTACAACATAAACCATTTTGTAACCTTCTGCGTACTATTTTCATTGAAATAATTAACTAAAATATTTCATAACTTGTGCTTGAAATGTTATGTTTGAAACGTTTGAAATATTTCTGTAATAATGTGTGCTGTATACGAACGGGGACTCAGCAATTATTGGGGCTTTAAATTTGTATTTAAAAATTTACAAATTTGTTTAATTAATTTCTCCAACGTTGATTTATTCTTCAAACACCCTATATACTGTAACTAATAGTACATTCATAAATAATCATTGTCGGGACGATAAAAACATTAAATTTTAAGACACGCGCACTGTCTCGTGCATTATCTGTATTATCCTGTATGTCTACTTTTCTCAAGAAAAGGTCAAGTAGTTGCCGTATGTTTACAATATATAAAAACCAGTTTTCGGCCACACACGTACACTTACTACACTTCCACTAGATTTATTTTGTGAGAATACGTCAACGATTGAGTATTAAAATTTATTGCATAATGCATCCTTTAACAAGACAAGTAAGTTTTAAAACATAATATACAGGATGTCTCTAATTTGACGAAAATCAAATAAAAAAAAAATATTGAATGGAAATAAAATAACACATTTTGTTTTGTAGGTATTTCGGAGTTTAAAAAAATTAGGAGCTAGAAATGTTACCCTAACTGCATCTACTAGTCAGCAGGCACATCATGTAGAGCTCAGTGAGGGCAACGGTAGATTACCCTTAACTGTTTTGACTGAAGATGAAGCCATGATGAAAGAGACAGGTAGGTAATTTTATTACTAATACTTATACATAAAAGATTTATAGAACATAAAAAAACTTAGCTTAGCCGGTTGCAGGAACGTTCGCTAAATCTTTACGGAACCGTTAAAACAATATTGATCAGTTAAAATCAAAAGTGTATTGCAAGAAGCTCCATTAAATACATATTTAAAGCTCGTTAGTGGTTGATTAAAACAAATGAATAAATATACCGGATACTTGTCATATCTTTTAAAAATTTAAATTGGAAAAGTTTTTACATAGGTACTTACATATTTTAGGTTTATTTTTAACGATTTTATCATAAATTGAAATTCTGTAAAAATGAAATTAACGTAGGACCAAATAAACATACGTTAAAACTACATAGTTCAAATTTACAATAAAGATAAGCAAAAATATCGTTAAATTTTAAGGTCTCTTACTCGTTACTCGTATTTTAGGCCAGTAAATAGAGACATAAAAATCGAAAAATTTTACATTAATTCTAACATTTTTTAAATTTCGTGGTGAGATAAAGTACCTACCTTTTAAAGTAATTAATTTCTGTTAATTAACATTATATGATCTCATTTAGCAACCAAAATATTAACATGCTAGCAAAATCACAGTATTCTTGCTAATATCGCCTTAAATGTCTGTGAAAATTTGTAATTCTTTCCGATGATGGCGATCATCAATAGTAAGACAATAGTAATTTTGTGTATCATTGTCTTATTATGAACATAAAAAGTTAATTGTAAAATTAAATATTAATTTACAGAATTGCTTCTCATAATTAACTTACGTAATATTTTTAACATCTTTGTGGGGTAGCTACCCCCTTGAAACTCTTAAATTGTAAAAATGGTCGATTGACAGCTCATTTGAAAGAATTTTATTTTCTCTGTTTAATGTTACTTAAAATATTATTTAAATTTGCTTTATTTTAGCTAATATAATTACATTTATTATGTAAAATTAAATAAATATACAAGATGAAAATCGAAAAAATAAAAAGCACATGATAGGATTTAATTTTTTTGTGATCTTTTCAAATGTGAAAAAAATTTACAAATTAAAACATACAGGGTTATTAGGTTAGGTTGAAAATGAGTGGGATGATCTCATCTTCCACTGCGACCCAGATGGATCTATTGTGGCTCATGTCTAACTTATAGTTATGGACTAGCCATATAAAACTCCAATGTTTGGTAACATAAAAATCTAGTAAGTTAAGTCTCAGTAAAACACTGCTAAATATCCTTCTCAAAAACCTATTGAGTCTAATTATAGTGATTTATTGGCAAAAAAATTTTACCCTAAAACCTAGTTATAATACATTACTTTAAAAAAAAATCCACATAAAAACCAATTAGGACAAGTTACAATAACTTATTGTTCAAAAAATGTCACCCAAAATTCAGTTATACAAACATGCAGTTATTTTAAACTACCAATTTTAGTTGT